CTTTCGATTAGTAATTTCCTACCTTTTCACCATTATTCACATTATATCATTGTTTCCAAAATAGCCTCCATGTTTCGAAAGGTTTTATCCACTTAACTCCATTTACAAAATAATTTTATTTCAGAGAGGAAGGGAGAAGAAGGGAGAGAGAACCATCAGTGATGATAGAGAATCATTGATTGGCTGCCTCCTGCACTCCTCCTACTGGGGATAGAGCCCTGACCGGGACTTGAACTGTTACCTCCTGGTTCATAGGTAGACGCTCAACCACTAAACCACACCAGCTGGACAGTTTTCCTATTTTTATTCATCAAAATCACAGGCATATCTTAGCAACGGCATAAGCCAAATGTCCTCTCACTGAGCTGCCTGAATTTTATCCGAAAGCACAAACATGACTTTTAATAAGCCAGACCAGTCTTTCATCCAGCAAAGACATAACTTTCTTTTGACTTTTTGAAATACTGAAAATAGCTTTTGTATCCTCATTATTATCTCCAAAAAATTCTTTGGGGAATCTCTGGCCTAATGACCTAATTATCTTTTCATTCAATGGCTGTCGTTCTTAGAAGTAATGAAAGAAAGAGGCCATGTACTAAGACAGCCATGTTACATAGTGACACCAGGGGGCAGACTGTTGAAGGAGAAGGTTTTCATTAACTTCCGTCCAGTGGAAAAGCTTCCCTTTTGGAAGTTACTGACAAGTCTAGTCAAACAGTCAGCTTCCTTTCTTTCCTTCTATCCTTCTTTTAAATACAGCATTTTAAAAAATTCATCTTACTTAACATTTGGAAGTTCATGTCTCCCATTTCTGCACGGATACAAATCTATAAACTTACTAGTGTCCGAAGCGGCAGTGCAGGGCGGCCAGGTTCAGAGCAGCGTATCTCAAGCTCCGGCCGTAGCCCTCTTCCCCGTTACTTTTGCTCTCGGCTCCCGTGAGAATCAGGCGGTCAAAGTAATGCAGGAGGCTGTGTGTAGAACTAAACACGTCTTGGACCCGGAGGTTGTTTAAGTAGCTGAGATAATGCTACAACAAGAAACAATCCACACAGTGTAAATATTCCACTTCCTCTTGTGTAAGACTAATTCAGTTCTACTGGCTGCAAACATCCATGTATCCCCCACCCTTCTAACAATAGGGTCATCATTTAGATTCACCTTTTTCTCACAGGCAGAATAAAGCAGGTTCAAGATACATTGGTTTCTCACCAGGAGGGTCCCCAAATGAAAAAACCGATGTTCCAGTAGCACTTGTGTCAGCATTTTATCCTAAATATACATCCATTATGTCACTGGTTATATTAGGACCCATGTGAGGGTGGAGGGGAGAACTCACTTAGCTCAGGTATTTAAAAAGTTTACTGAGCTAATTATATTCTATTTTGAAACTGTTTTCATTTTGTTTGATTCACTGAATTAAGTCTCCCACTAGCCCTAGCCAGTTTGACTCAGTGGATAGAGCATCGACCTGTGGCCCGAAGAGTCCTGGGTTCAATTCCGGTCAAGGGCACGTACCTTGGTTGCAGGCTCCTCCCCAGACTGGGCCCTGGTTAGAGCGCATGCAGGAGGCAACCAATCGATGTGTTTCTCTCACATGGTTGTTTCTCTCTGTCTTTCCCTCTCTCTTCCACTCTCTCTAAAAGATCAATGGAAAAATATCCTCAGGTGAGGATTAACAAAAAATAAATAAGAAAAATTTATAAATAAATAAATAAATAAACTTCCCTCCAAGCAGGCAGATCCCAGTTACTACGGAACCAAACATATATCTTTCAACACGTGGATAAAGTCAAATGTCAAATCCACGTTTGAGGGTAAAAATCCATTAAGGAATGGAATGATTTTTAAACTTAAAAACAACAACACACTGACAAAAGTGGGGAAAGGTGCCAAAACCGGTTTGGCTCAGTGGATAGAGCGTAGGCCTGCGGACTGAAAGGTCCCAGGGTCGATTCCGGTCAAGGGCATGTACCTGGGATGCGGGCATCTCCCCAGTAGGGGATGTGCAGGAGGCAGCTGATCGATGTTTCTCTGTCATCGATGTTTCTAACTCTCTATCTCTCTCCCTTCCTCTCTGTAAAAAATCAATAAAATATATATATTTTATTGATTTTTTTTTAGAGAGAAAGGAGGTGAGAGGGATAATAGAAACATTGACAGAGACATCCATCCATTGACTCGAGTCGCAAGCTGGGCATATGCCCTGACCAGGAATCAAACAGGGGAAATCTTGGTTTATGGGTTGATGCTCAACCACTGAGCAACATTGGCTGGACTCACTGGTTGATTCTTGTATGTGCCCTGACCAAGGATTGAACCTGAAACCTTAGTGTATTTGGGACAATACTCTAACCTAACAAGCCACCTGGCCAAGACAGGCCCCAAAGATTTTAAAAACTCCGTCTACTCTGCCCTAGCCGGTGTGGCTCACTTGGTTGGGTGTGGTCCCATGCACTGAAAGGTTGCCAGTTTGATTCCCAGCAGAGCACATGTCCATTGCGGGCTCAATACCCAATAGGGGCGTATGGGAGGCAGCCAATTGATGTTTTGTTCTTACATTGATGTTTCTCTCTCTGTCTCCCTTCCTCTTTCTCTAAAAAAATAAAATAAATACTCAGTCTACTCTATCTTTGCCCATAATTCACAACATCAGAGAGTCAAACTAAGTACAATCATCAATAGTGGTTTGTATAAAATTAGAGTATCAAACACTCCTAAGACTTTCCATATTCCTTCCAGCCCTAATGCAGACCTCACCAGCCACCTGCTTCTATCACCGCCTCGACCAGGTAAGGCCCTACAAGGACCCCTGTTCTGACAATTCTTGTAGTTCCGATCAAGATGTATTAAAAATGCCAGTCTGGCCTCAATCCAGACCGTGTGCACCTTCACAGCGGGCAGTGTGCACCTCCAGCGGGCAGTGTGCACCTCCAGCGGGCAGTGTGCACCTCCAGCGGAGCAGTGAGCACCTCCAGCGGAGCAGAGGGCCTATGGCACTCAGGTGCACCTCGTCTGCTTAACTGTTTCACAAGAACGACAGTAAGCAACGATTACATAAGATACGTAGAAAACTAGTTTCAAATTAAATATTAGCACTTAACTGGGTTATAGACACTTAATTCAATTCTACCTAGACAAATTTTTCTTTATAATAATAATTTCTAATTCCATTTTAATTCATTATATCATTACAGAAGATTCTAAAACTATTGAAAAGCATACAGAAAACAAAAGTCATCTGTAATCCCTCCACCCAGAAATAACACTATTATTAATTCTTCAGTGTATCTTATTCCAGCGCATATTTTTTTCTATGTATGTATATGTGTCTGTATACACATATACACACACCATATTTTTAACAAAGTTAGAATACATAATTTTACTTTGTGCTCTTTTCATTTAATATTACAAACTCTGTCTCATTATTAAGTAGTCTTTACAAATGATTCTTTTTTTAAAAATATACTTTATTGATTTTTTTTTACTGAGAGGAAGGGAGAGGGATAGAGAGTTAGAAACATCGATGAGAGAGAAACATCAATCAGCTGCCTCTTGCACACCCCCTACTGGGAATGTGCCCACAACCAAGGTACATGCCCTTGAACCGGAATCGAACCTGGGACCCTTCAGTCCGCAGGCCGACGCTCTACCCACTGAGCCAAACCAGTTAGGGCTACAAATGATTCTTAAAACAAAACTATTAACCCTTTGACTGTCATATTTATTGCAAATACTTTCCCCATTTTGTTGTTTGCCTTTTAATCTTGTTAGAACGTGTTCTGACATGCAGACATTTTTTTATTTTCATGCTAAAAAATCAAATTATCTTCTCCTACATGTTACTTCCATAGCTTTTATGTTTAGAAAGTCTTTCCCCATCCATAAATCAGTTAAAAGTTAATATTGTAGTTCCTTCTAGTTTAATTACAGCTTTAAATATTTACATTTGCCCCTTTAATCCACCCGTAATATAGTAAGGTGTGAGGATCCAGCTATATTTTTCTCCTTGATAGCTAGACAAGTTTTCCTAATTTGTTTAAAATTCATCTGCAGGTATGTTCCTATCACTTTTAGCTAGATCCCTACATTTTTCTGCAGAAAGAAATTTAAGGACAAAATCAGGGAAAACTAGAAAAATCTAGCAAAAAATCAAAAGTCTGCTTGAAGATAACATGAGAGAAAAATGTTTAGCTTATGTTACTGAGAAAATGAAAGAGTCTGCCTTAAAACCACCAACAAAAAATGTTTGGGACAGCCCAGTCAGTGCAGTTCAGAGATTGAGCGTCAAGCTATGAATCAGGAGGTCAGGGTTCGATTCCCAGTCAGGACACATGCCTGCTTGTGGGCTCAATCCCCAGTAGGGAGCGTGCAGGAGGCAGCCGATCAATGATTCTCTCTCATCACTGAAGTTTCTATCTCCCTCTCTCTCCCTTCCTCTCTGAAATCAATAAGAATATATATATATTTTAAATGTTTGGGATGAAGTGCACTGATATCTGCAACTTGAAATGCATAAAAAAAATAAATAAAAGAAATGGTGGCCGGATAGAGGATGGGTAGATATGTGTTGAACAGAGAAAAATATTAACTATAGGATACAGATGAAGAGTATATGGATAGTCACTGTAAAATGCTCTTCAATTTTTTTTTTAATGTCCATAATAAAATGTTGGGGAAAGGGAAGCACATCTTCTAAATCACATTTTTTGGCTGTGTTAGTCATGTACCATTATTGAATGAACCTGCATTAGAACTTTAATCGAAAAATGAAATTACAAAATAGGAAGTAATAGCATTGTTAGTGAAGAAAAGAGGGCCAAGAACAAGGGGTAATGCAGAATTACCAATAAACCCACCAACCTAACAGGCATATGCCATGACAAACAACATCAGATGATTTTTTTTTTAAGTTTATGATAAATTAGAGAATTAACATTACCTGTTGCGAAAGAAAAAATTCTGCTTGTTTTTGGGACAGGGGCCCACTGCAAGATACCTCCTCTTCTCTACAAAATATAAAACAAAAATAATAAATACATATAATACACCATAGCAAAAATGATAATGCTTACAAAGTCAGATTCTTTATCAGAAGAGTTAAGACACTTTTTTTAATTGATTGATTTTAAGGAGAAAGTAAGGGAGCAAAAGAGAGAGAGAGAAAAAACAATGATTCATTGTTCCACTTATGTATTCATTGGTTGATCCTTGTATGTGCCCTGACCGTTAACTTTGGCATATCAGGACAACACTCTAAACACTGAGATATCTGGCCAGGGCCAAAAACTTTTACAACTAATTCTCTCCTCTCAGGAATAGAAAAGACATACTTAAAAAATGATGTTGAATGACCTGACAAAGTTCACAATGATCATAGACAAATATAGACCTAAATTCTACATAGCTCTCAGCAGATCTTCCTAAAATTCAAATCTATCATGCTATCCCTGACGTTAAGCCCTTCAGTGGTGCCCCATCACCTCCAAAATAAAGTCCACACTGCTTAGTGGGGCAGGTGCAGTGCTTCATGGGTGATCCCGCCTCCTGCCTCTCTCTTTTGCCTTCTCTATGTCACCTACACCCCAGCCCTCATGAACACCTTACAGGTCTCCTGTCATGATAAGGTGCCCCTGCTGCTTCCACAACCTGCAGGGTCCACCTGCCCACCTACTACTGGACCACTGGACACGATCCATCATTCAAAATTACACGAGTCACAGCCTCCAAGAAGCTCTCCTGACACGTCTCATTTGAGCTCCCACTGTCTCCTAGGTGCTTATCATAGCACCTATGCACTGCCGAGCTGGGCTGTTCTGACCTGCATTTGTATGTGAATACCCAGGGCTATATGTAGGCACACTCAGATTCTGGGAAATAAATGAATGAAGAGTTTCTAACTCCATGCTACAGAGTCAAGATGGTGTTGTATTCAAAGGCAGGAAAAGGCGGCTTCACCTAAGAAATAACCATTTGCCTAGAAGCTTAGATTACACAGGACTGATAAACAAGAAATGTACTAATATAAACCTAGACTTGACAAATCTATACATGCACAGTATAAAACAATCTTGTTTTGAGGTCAAAGTATGAATATTACTATTTTATCACTGAAGAAAGTCTTCTCTAAATAGGATTACAGTAAGTATAAAATCAATATTTACTCATAAATAGTATTTGTATAAGCACTCTGTGTCAATTACAGCAGATCTCAAACTGTTTCATGCAAATGATATATAAATGGATATCCTAAGAAAATTCTGAGGTTCAAGAATTTGAGGAAGGTGTATATATTCTATCTTGCTTGGAGATTCATGACTCATTAGAGAAATCCAGCAGAAAGAAACTTCACTTTTACTTAACGTTCCATTTACCAACCTCACTGCACAAAGGGTCCTTTCCTCATGCCTCTCAAGAAGCACCAGCGTCCCACAGAAGGCACGTTAGGAAGAGCTGCTCTATATTCTCCTAACTTCATTTCCGATAAATATTACCGAACCAGCCCCAGGCAGTGGGTCAGCTCTGGCAAATATTGGAGCTGCCAAGAACCAGCCCTGACCCAGACCTAACAAAGATCAGTGACACAGTAGTGACCTAGAGGGAAATGGAAAAAAATTTCACAGGCCAAGTGCTCAAATGGAAAACAGTTAAGTGTCTGGGCAACAAGCCCTTTTCTCTTAACATATCCCTTAAACAAAATAAGCCCAAGGTTTGAAATAAATATGGCTGCACACAAAAAGGCTAGAGACAGATGAGAATCCGAAGGAAACTGGACACTGTCCCATTCTCCTCTGAAGTCCATGACACTCAGTAGTGCCAAATGCCTTATTTACTTAACCCCAACCCCCAAAAACAGACTTAGGCTGGCTTATAACAAAGGACATGGGAGCAATATGTGAGAAAATCAAAATGATGCAAAGGAAAATGGCTACAAGTGAAGACAAATAGAGTTATTATAAATGAAGTTATTATAAATTTGGCTCTGGCTCCCATACTGGCAACCGTGGCCGACATGAATGAACAAGCTTGGGAAGAGCAAATAAAAATATCGTGGCCCAAGGCACCCTTCACTGACCCTTCCTTTGCTTCCTCAGAGCCAATGTTCTTTTTCTGTCCAGCAGACAGCACGAACACAGGTCTCTAAGATCACAAATGATGCAGTTGAGTTTCCCACATTTGGGGAAACCACAGGGTCAGCACATCTGGAGTGCAATGGCTAAGCCTCGCCCTGAGAAAACCACCTTCATGATCATGGTACCTTCCCTGCCAGGTAAGCATGAATGTACATTTTTAATGTAGAGATAGTACATGGCATTCATCAGATTCTTAAAAGAAGCCTGTAAACTGCTAAAAAGGGCTCAAATCTACCACTATATCTGAATTTTACATAGGATTAGTCAACCAGCAAGGATTGGTTTTTTTGTTTGTTTTTTAAAGTATGTGCAAGGCATAAAACACCAATCAAGGCCTTGGGGGGGGAAATACAAAATCTTAATGGTCGCCAGTGAGTTTGGCATGCTTGGTCTATAGTCTTGGTAAAGGCTAGGACCAGCCCAGATGCAAAGATGACAGTAAACGATAAATATCAAGGATGAGTATGGACTCTGTACTTATAAAAGGGAGAAATCACTCCAGCTGAGTGGTGAGGAACTGGAAAGCTGGTAAGGAGTGGGGAAAATGATGAGGAAAGAGGAAGGCATTCCAGGAAAAGAAAACAAGAGAGGCAGAAAGGGAAAAGGCCTGGGGGCATTCAAGCAGACCTGGCTAGTGGGGGTAAAGGATCCAAGCCAAGGACAGAAGGTAAGGTCAGAAAGATAGATTGTGGAGGCCTCAAACACCAGGTGGGGAGAATCTGTGGAACCTGGAGATTTCTGAGTGATGTGGTGACAGGTCAAAACCAGCGAAGAGGAGAGACTGAGACAGAGGACAGTTATAAACACCTGAGGCCATGAGGACCTGAGCCCTTCCCAAGTGTGTGACCAGAGGGTGCGACCCAGCCCCTCCTTCTGTCCCTCCAATATGTCAGCTTGTCCTGACTTGGGGGCTCCGTGTCTGCCATGTGCTCTGGCAATTCTTCTCAGGACTCGCTCCTTCGTCACCGAGCTCCCTGTCTTCTAGAGACCTTCCCAGCCCGGCCTGTGTGGCTCGGCAACTGATCGTTGACCTATGAACCTGGAGGTCACGGTTTGATTCCCAGTCAGGGCACATGGCTGGGTTGCAGGCTCAATCCCCAGTGGGGGGGCATGCAGGAGGTAGCAGAACGATGATTCTCTCATCATTGATGTTTCTTTTTTTTTTTTTTTTGATGTTTCTTTTTTTAAAAAAATATATTTTATTGATTTTTTTTTACAGAGAGAAAGGGAGAGAGATAGAGTCAGAAACATCGATGAGAGAGAAACATCGATCAGCGGCCTCCTGCACACTCCCTACTGGGGATGTGCCTGTAACCAAGGTACATGCCCTTGACGGCAATCGAACCTGGGACCCTTGAGTCCGCAGGCCGATGCTCTATCCACTGAGCCAAACTGGTTAGGGTTCATCATCAATGTTTCTATCTTTCCCTTTCCCTTCCTCTCTGAAATCAATAAAAATGTATTTAAAAAGAGAGAGACCTTCCCAAAGAGCACCCCACAGCCATTTTCTATCCCTGTGTCCTACCTCATTGTCCTACTGTCTCCGAAATTACACTACTTCTTCTTTCAGTTACCTACTACCTGACCCTCCACCTCCCTTTTCGCTGACAGCACAGCCCTTCACAGTGCCTGGCATACAGGAAGCACTTGATAAGTATTTTTGAACATTAATGAATTTGGGAGATTTATCTCAAATCTCTGGCCGGTGAAGGAACACCAGAGAATTTCTGCTTTGGCGGGGTCCACTCAGCAGCACAGAGAGACTGCTTCCAGCAGCAGGCAGACTAGCAGGCTCCACTGCAGCCTGACGAGCTGTGATCCTGTCAGCCTGATTTCTTACCGCAGGACACAGAGCTGCCCCTTGGCAACAACGAGCAAATGAAAAGCTGAAGCTAAATTTCAGTTTGCACTTCCGTCTGTACGTGGATTTTTTTTTAATATATTTTATTGATTTTTTACAGAGAGGAAGGGAGAGAGATAGAGAGTCAGAAACATCGATGAGAGAGAAACATCGATCAGCCGCCTCCTGCACATCCCCCACTGGGGATGTGCCCGCAACCCAGGCACATGCCCTTGACCGGAATCGAACCTGGGACCTTTCAGTCCGCAGGCCGACGCTCTATCCACTGAGCCAAATCGGTTTCGGCATGTACGTGGATTTTCAAAAACACCTGATAAACATTTTTAAAAACACCTGAAAGATATTTATTCTCTCCCTTCTAAATTACCAGTTAGGTTTCCACTTTTAAATAGGAATGATTTCATTGTAAGATGGGAGATTTGTAGGCTATTCAATAATACTTTCTCCTTTCTAATTTTAATACAAATTTCTAGGGCAAGAAAAATAATTTCCCTGAAAAAAACATACCTAAAATCATTCCAATAACTATAAATAACTAAAAAAATAGAAAGGGCTAAAGTGAGAAACTTCTGATAACACAATAAAACATTAGAAAAATCACAAAAAGAGAAAAAATTGAAATTTTCCTTTTTAAAAGAATCAATGAGTGTATAAAATATATCTTGCAAAGTAAAGAACTATCCTATAACAAGTAAAAGCATTTCTTTTTGGACAAAGTGTAATACTTAATTAGAATAACTTTTAAAGAATATCTTTCATATCAGTGAGCAATTCAGTTTACTAAATATACACTATTCTCTGAAACCACGCACCTTAACAGTAAATACACTGGCTTACACGCAAATGAATTCTTAGAATAGGATAAAAACAAAAAGATGCGATTAGACCTAATTAAATCAGATAAATTTAGGAGAAAACCAAACCATAATATGAAAAGTCTGAATTTTAACATTTCTAAAGAAGTGACATTCTACTACTTGAAGCTTATGGAGTAGCTCAAACAAAGATCATACTGTTGCTTGGAAGCCTTCCTTAGGGGACTTAACTAGAAGAGAAATTAGAGAAGAACAGTGAATAGTTGTTGAATGTTTGCCACATACCAGGAACAGTTCTAAACACTTTATATAAACTTACCATTTAATGCCTACATTAACCCTCTGAGGAGGTGATATCCTTCCCATTTGCAGATCAAGAAATTGAAACACAGAGGAATTGAATAACTGGCCCAAGGCCTCACAGGGAATAAGGGAAGGAGCAAGGATTCATACCCAGGATTCTGACTCTAGCGCCAGACCCTTCACCCCATACTGTACTGCCTTTCCAACAGATGAGAAGCCTTTACAGACAACTCTAAGTAGTGAGGTTTTGGAAGGAGTTAATAGTACTGTAATCTTGCTCCCATAACCAGGCCCTGGCCAGGAAGCTCAGTGGATTAGAGCCGTGGTCGGCAAACTGCGGCTCTCGAGCCACATGCGGCTCTTTGGCCCCTTGACTGTGGCTCTTTCACAAAATACCATGTGCGGGCGCACGTACAGTGTGATTGAAACTTCATGGCCCATGCGTAGAAGTCGGTTTTCGGCCTGGGCGAGTCTATTTTGAAGAAGTACTGTTGATATTTGGCTCTGTTGACTAATGAGTTTGCCGACCACTGGATTAGAGCATTGTTCTAATACGCCAAGGCTGCTGGTTTGCTCCATTTATTTACTGTGCTATTTCGCAGGAAAGGGACCCCTGTCCGAAAAATCCAAGTTACCTTATGGACACATCAAGTTCTTCTTTTTCCATTTTTCTTTCGCCCTCTTCTCTGCCAGTCAGTTCCATATCAGCATCCTCCACTGTCTTTTTCTCACCATTTTGGAAGTACTGTTGAAGGGCAGTGTACAGTTTAAACACTTGGCTAAAGGAAAGCTTACTATAGGCCAAGATCATGTGACGCAGAAATAAGCCTACAAAATAAGACACAGACAAGGTGAAGGCATTAAATGAAATCGGGATACACAAATTTGATGACTGTTTGTTGCAATTCTTCCTTCAAAAGAATAAAAAAAGACACTTGAAGTTGCTATTCCTTCTGCTTAGAGTGTTCTTCCCCACTCTTTACAAATCTGGTTTCTTCTTATTCAGGGCCCAGTGCTTACACCCACACTCCACCATCGTTATCCACACAATCTATTTTTTTCTTGACTATTATAACTATCTGAAATTATCTTATTTATTTACTTTTTTTCATCTGGCCCTACCCTACTCAAATGCAATCTCCATAAAAAAGAAGGTCCAGCCCTGACCGGTTTGGCTCAGTGGATAGAGCATCAGCCTGTGGACTGAAGGGTCCCGGGTTCAATTACAGTCAAGGGCATATGCCCAGGTTGTGGGCTTGATCCCTAGTAAAGGGCATGCAGCAGGCAGCTGATCAATGATTCTCATCATTGAAGTTTCTATTTCTCTCTCATCATTGATGTTTCTCTCTCTTCCTCTCCCTTCCTCTCTGAAATCAATAAAAATATATGAAAAAAAAAAAGAGGAAACTCCAGCCCTGGTCAGTGTGGCCCAGTTGGTTGGAGTGTCCTCCTGTATACCTAAAGGTATCAGGTTCATTCCCGGTGAGGGCTCATTCTTAGGTTGCAGTTTCATCCCTGGTTGGGGCACATACGAGAGGCAACCAATAGATGTTTCTCTTTCTCTCTCTCTCTCTCTCTCTCTCTCTCTCTCTTTCACTCTAAAATCAATAAACATATCCTCGAGTTAAGATTAAAAAAATAAAAAAGAAGGTCCATGTCTATCTTTTAAATCCACATCCTGGCACATAGGATAGAAGTAAATTATCAATAACTGATGTTGAATAACAAATACTACTATGAAATAAAGCCAGGTGGATAGAGCATGGATATAAAGCCAACAGAAAAGCATCAAAAGATGTCACATTTGCCCTCACCTTAACATTTACTTACTTCTCTTCATAGAAGTTTAGTTGATGACCCTGACTTAAGAGTTATGAAATGCAGACAAGTGACCCAGAGGACAATGAGAAAGAGCTGAGAAACCCTAAGAGCCCCCCAGACCAGGCCAATACCTTTGATATCATAGACAAAACTTGTCTTTTCCACAAGACAATTGTTTAAACACAGATCAAAATGGCAAGGCAATAAACACAAATTAAAACATGTGTTTGTTCAGGTACTGCAGAGTAATGACAGATGTGATCTAGAAAGCTGCTCACTTCAATGAACATATTCTCTGCTCTCCTCAGGAGAACTTCATACCTACTACGCTTGTTTTGTGAACCTCTGGTTCAGTTCCAGAAAAAGAATCTGACAGGTCATCAAAAAATTGTTCCATATCCTTCAATTCGCCTTCAGCCATCAGTTTGATTCTGAATGAGAAAATTGAGGTGTGTATTTTAAGTAGGCCCTTTGAACACCTTCCCATGTTTCATATTTACCTAAAATAAATATATTTAAAAGCAATTCAGAGTTTCACATAAAAATGGTGGCACATAAAACAAACTTAATCATCCAAAATGTCATTCCCATATTCTGAAAAGTATCATTGCTGATGTTTTCTTGATCATAAAACTTGTCATCCAAAAAAATTGGAATTCTCTGCAACAATTAAAAAGGAAAAGGTAGCCCTGACTGGTTTGGCTCAGTGGATAGAGCGTTGGCCTGTGGACCCAAGGGTCCCAGGTTCGATTCTGGTCATGGGCGCCAGAAACAAATTAAAAAAAGAAAAGAAAAAGAAAAAGATAGCCCGAAGCCGGTTTGGCTCAGTAGATAGAGCATCGGGCCTGTGGACCGAAGGGTCCCAGGTTCAAGTCCAGTCAAGGGCACGTACCTCAGTTGCAGGCTTCTCCTAGGGCCGGGCCCTGGGCAGGCACATGCCGGAGGCAACCAATTGATGTGTTTCCCTCCTGTCGATATTTCTCTCTGTCTTTTCCTCTCTTTTCCACTCTCTCTAAAAATCAGTGGAAAAATATCCTCAGTGAGGATTAAAAAAATAATTTAAAAAAGGAAAAGGTAGATTGAAAAAATAAATTTTGAAGCAGTACATTTAATGTTAACCATTTTTCAAAAAAAATTAAACCTAAAAGTACAAAGATATATTTTTTAAATAATTAATTAACATGTGCACTTTTCCATTTTACATCTACTTTGACAACTTTTCATATATAGAGAAAAAAATGTTTTACCTGATTTGTACTGAATTTGCAAGCTGAGGACAAGATTCTTCAATTAACTTGTACAATTTAGTCAGTGTAATATCTGGGCCCTGAGCAAAGAGAGATAGAAAGGTTATGGATAAATGTTAAAGAACTGGAGAATGATAAACAGCAGCAAACATGAATTCATTTATCAACCCCTCTGCTTTAACAATTATTCCAAACATGAAATCTCAAATCAGAAAGGGGGGAAAAAAACTATCTAAAACGATAAAGTAATACTTGAAAATTGCATATCGTTCTCATTGAGTCAGTGAATGGTTTAAAATGGGGGGAAATACATTGAATCTGTAGTCCAAGGATGCATCTTTCCTTCCTTCTTAGTTTTGTAATCATGTAAACTTGTAGCCTCCTGAGCCCTAGTAAAATGGAGATAATAATAATTATCTCCTTTGTGGCAAAGATTAAGTAAGATAATGCAAGGTGCTCTGTGAACTGGAAAACATTATACAAACAAAGGTGTCCTATTTTTTCAAAACATATCTCATTTGATCCTTCCCAAAACCTTGTAAGACAGGCAGACATACTATATGTCCAAGTCCATATAAGGTACCATCAGAGACCGAGAGTATGCGACCTCTGCTATCAAGAAGACTACAATCTTAACCCTGACCAGGTAGCTCAGTTGGTTGGAACATCATCCTCTGATATGCCAAGATTGCAGGTTCAATCGCTAGTCAGGGCACATATAATAAAAGCACATATCAGTGGAACAACAAATCCATGTTTCTCTTTCTCTCTAAAATCGACCTATAACTTTAAAGAAAAAGACTACAACCTAATTGAGATTTAAAACTAAACAAAAGGGCATACCACATTTCACTTATTCTACATATTTATTTAGGTGCTGTAGTTGGCTTCCGGGGCACAAAATGAAGAAAAAATAGGACAAAGCACTGCCCTTATAGAGGTTATAGTCTCGTAAGGGAGAGGCAGCAGGCACATAATTACAAATACATGGAAAAAACACAACTGATATATGGAAAGGTACATGCCCTAGGAGAACACATTAAAATCGCCAATACTGAGTAATTATTGTGTGCCACACACTGTGATGTGTTTCCCATGGGTCTTCTCAGTTAATACAGCCATCCCACGACATAGTTTCTATTATTGTTCCCATTCTGCAGAAACCAGGGCCCAAATAGGCTGGAGAACTTGCTCAAGTCCCACAACTAGTAAGTGCTATAAAATGAAATAAAATGCTTAGCACACGATCGATGTTCACTGTTAGTCTTATGTCATTATTACTACTTATTAATGTCCTCTAGGTCGGATACAGGACCCATAGGATTCATGTGTCACACACACACACACACACTCAGGACTACGTGTACCCAGTCCCAATCTGCAGAAATCAGAAGACCTGAAAAAGCAACTCTTCGCCCAGTCGCTCAGCTAACAAATGCTGGAGCCAGATATGAACCTGCGAAAACATGCATGTCAAGCACCTGGCCCATCGTAAACACTCAGTAAGTGTTAGTTGGTGGCATTATCTTTCCTTTTTCGCGGTCCTCCAAGGCCAAGCGTTAGCTGATGGGCCCCCGTCCCCCGAGGCCCAAGTAAACGTCAGGCACAGAGCAGGTGCTCAAGGAAGTTTGCTGGAAGAACGGGAGCCAGCGGGGCCCCTCACCTGCAGCAGAGGCAGAAGCAGCTGGTTGAGCCTCCGCCGCTCCATGAGGCTCACGGCAGCCTCGCCCGTGCGACCCATCTCGTTCAGCAGCACCAGCACCGCGATCTTATACGGCGTCACCCAGTCCTTGATGCCGAACACGTTGGCATGGACCACGCCATTGGTCATCATGGGGTTGAAGTAAAGGCTCTCGTGGACACTGGCCATGGTGTGCTGAACTCCTACCACCACAGCCCGCCCTCCGCCTCAACCAGTCCGGGCCGTATCCCAGGGAACCGGCTACTTCGCGCTCGCGGCATGCCGTCGGCCAATCAGAGAAGCCATATTAGAGCCACAGCCAATCAGAATGCCGTGGAGGGTGGGGACAAACGTTGCACCTACAAACTAAGTCCCTACAGAAACTCTTGCGGAAGGAGAGCAGGTTCCCGGGCGACTTTGACTAAGACCGAGTTAAAGTGGGTCCACATTTGGGGGCCGGGGCTGAACCTCCTGGGGGCTGCCATTTGTTCATTTCATTTGAAAACAATTAAAATTGAATTTTTAAAAGATTGTGTTAAGCCCTAACCGGTTTGGCTCAGTGGATAGAGCCTCGGCCTGCGGACTGAAAGGTCCCAGGTTCGATTCCGGTCAAGGGCATGTACCTTGGTTGCCGGCATATCCCCAATAGGGAGTGTGCAGAAGGCAGCTGATCGATGTTTCTGTCTATCCCTCTTCCTTCCTCTCTGTAAAAAAAAAAAATCAATAAAATATATTTTTTAGAAAAGATTGTGTTAAAAAACAACGGATTGAATTTGCACCTTTAAAATTTGTGTTTGATTCGTTATGTTAATATTTAAACTCAAAGTTTTGGATTTTCATTTACCTCTTTTAAAGTGTGAACAAATTTTTTCTCAGTATTCACAAACGCCATTTGGAAACAGCCAGGTCACATTATAAGTAGCCTTGTATCCTTACCTGAAATAGCTAATACCTCCCTATAGTGAGTCTGTTTCCTTCCTAATAAACTACAAAATCCGTAGTCTGTAATTCATAGCCCTCCACAATGAATTCCCTATACAATATTTTCAATCCAGTTTGTCACAGCTCCAGTCCCATTCAGCTATACCTCTCCAATGTGCCAGACATTGTGCTAAGGCCTAGAGATACAGCAGTGAATAATAAACTAGAAATTTGATCTCGGAAAGAAAAAAGTGGCATAAGACACAAATCAAAAATCCCTTTGATGAACCAGTCCATCTCCAAGAGATTGAAAAGGACCTACTGTTATAGACATATGGTTGGCCTCCTTTACTTTTTGTTGTTAATCTTCACCCCCAAGAATATATTTCCATTGATTTTTGAGACTGGAGGGTGAGAGACAGAGAGAGAAACATTGATGTGAGAGAGACACATAGATTGGTTGCCTCCCACATGAGGATCTCTAGCCTGTAACTGAGGTATGTGCCCTTGATGGGAATGGAACCCAGGACATTTCAGTCAGTCGGCCTGCACTCTATCCAGCAGCTAGGGCCTTCTTTACTTTTAATAATGAAAAATTAATGCTGGATCTCCACCTTTTATATTTCAAAGCAGGCCTCCAAGACAATAAATGCAGCAGAGATGTATAACTTGTTGTGGAGTTCAATTTATTTTGTCTGTCCAACATGCTCCTCTGCTCTCCCCACAAATGTGTTGCCTTTAATTTGAACAAAGATATAGAACATGTCCCTCTAACTATAGGCATATGGCCCTAGCAGAACCAATCAGATCCTGCTCTGGGATTGCTGTGTGGACTTCAGAGAAAGAAGAGCCCTCTTTGTCTTGAGGTAACTAGGCAAGGCTATCAATGTCATATTCCGCAGTGCTTTCTTCAACTGTATCAGCTTTCCTAGTATATAATCCCAATAACAAAAATTAGCCAATGTTTATTGGTTTTTTGGTTTTGTTTTTTTGCTTTAGCTTGACTGAGGAAGATTTTTGGCTCTTGCGACCAAAGTCATCTTTAATATATAATTGAAAATATTGAAAGCAATTCATCCTGCCAGAACAGTTTAGTCCCCAGAAACCTTCAGGCTCTTTGATTTACTCCTATATGAACCTTTATCTCATCTTATGTATAATTCAGTGACTGACCCCTTCCATCCCCAGTAAAGAGAGAGCAAGAAATACCATGGCTTATCCCTTTCACCAACCCTCTAATTTCCCTCCAGAGTCCCTTATTAGCACAAGACAGCCAATTGACTTCGAAAATGGGAAAGGAAGCCCACAGGGATCACCACTATCTAATTCCAGAATATGCTTAATGACGCCTCCTCCAAAGCCCCATACCAATTAGCAGTCACTCCCCATTCTCCCTCCCCCCCAACCCAGGTAGCTACTAATCTTCTTTCTGTCTCTATAGATTTGCATATTCTGGACACTTCATGTAAATGGAATCATACAATATGTGGCCTTTGTGTTGGCTTCTTTCGTTTGGCATCATGTTTCTGAGGTCCGTCCACATGGCAACACTGTCAGTGCTTCATTTCTTTTTATAGCTGAATAATATTCTATTGTATGGATAGACTATGTTTTGCTTATCCATTCATCTCCCTCAATGGGTGTTACTACCTTTTGGCTACTTTGAATCATGCTGCTGTGAGCATTCATGTACACATTTTTTTCTAGACATGTTTTCAATTCTTTTGGATATATTCTATGAATGGAGTTTCTGAGTCATATGCTAACTCTACGCTTAACTTTTTGAGGAACTGCCAGACTCATTTCCACAATGGTTATGCCATTTCACATTCCCACCAGCAATGAATGAAGGTGGCCTCTACCTTTTAATGAAGACCAGGAGCCCAGCTTGCTATTTAATCAGGAATCATGATTAGCAATGTCATGATTATGAAAGAACTGAATACTCATCAAAGGTGTTTAGGTTATTTTGAGTAATGGATGACTGTATTCATGATTTTATGTATCTCTGAAAACTGTGAGCCCCAAGTAGATTAGTTTTCTCCATTGCTCATTAGACAGTAGCTCACCAGCACCTAAGTGCTAGCGCATGATATGCAGTTCCCATGACAGATGGGAGAGCCAGCAGTGTCACAGAATGAATGCTTCACCTGCTAATCAGATCCAAAAGTTCTGAAAATGACAAAACCTAACTGTGGCTATGTTATTCTAAGACAGCATGTTAGAGGACATAGATCATTGCTCTGATTGATCTAAACAAGGAAAATAATACGCGTGAGGCAGCTCTCCTGTGTGCATGCGCAAACTTTCTTTCAGTAATCCAAGAAAATCCAGCTAAGAGGGGAGAAAATAGCTCTTATAGAATAAAGGAGCCCTGGCTCTGAGAGAGTCCTGCAGAGTCTCAGGGCTCAATCAATACAGAAAGTTCTGGGTAATTAACTGAGCTCCCAGGGTAACTTGATCTCTAGCCTGACAAGCATCACTAAGTATTTCCAGATCCAAGATAACATTCCAGCTTCTCAAAGCTCCCAAACTGAATTGACCTCCCTCCCTGAGGAAACAAACTCTCCTTGCTGTCTCTCGACCTCCTATTTCATCCACAGTAGATGTCACCATCTGCATGCAGCTGGAAGGGTCAATGAACAGATTAATTCATGGGGGCCAAGTTTCCCTTTCTATTGTCAACTCTCATCATCTGTTTGCTTGAACACACTTCAAATATCTCTTAGTAGCAGTAAGCGAGAGATAACATACATCACATAATTTTCACAAGTGTAAAAGTACATTTTAGGCTCACCGTTTTCACTTATTTGCAGATACCCTGACTCATTCTCAATACTTGACGTAATGGCAGTTTCCAGTAGAAGTGGCTGCTTTCAATAATAGGAGCAGAAACTCTATTTGCTCATTGCTTTCCCATATTTGAGGGATGTTATTTCCTTGGCTTGTAAAACTTGCATACATTTCAGTTTGCAATAGTCTCTGGACCTGTGATGTTTGATGAACATGTGGTGCCAAATAGTGATGGTACATACTAGAAGTTCTCTACCGCAGCGATAATGCTATGCAACAACTTCAAAATCTTGAAGGTATAACAAGAAACATGTTTGCTCACATATCTGGGATGGTAGGGTAGGAAGCCTAAAAATCTTGTTAGAGCTCAAGCACAGATTTGAGGGCTGGCGGATGGGATGATCTAGAATGGATGTGACTGGGGACAACTGAAATGTCTCTCTCTGTTTCTCTCCTCCTCCAGCAGGCAACCACAGGGAACATTCTTGTGGAGGAGGCACAGGCGCAAGAGAGGAAGTAGAAACCAGTGTGTCTTAGAGTCCTAAGCTCACTGATGGCACACATCAGTACTCTGGCCACACTCTATTAGCTAAAGCATATATTTTTTTAAAAAAAGGCAGTCCCTTCAATATATTATTTATTTATTTATTTAAAATATATCTTTATTGATCTCAGAGAGTAAGGGAGAGGGAGAGAGAAATAGAAACATCAATGATGAAAGAGAATCATTGATCGGCTGCCTCCTGCACACCCCACACTAGGGATCGAGCCCACAACCCGGGCATATGCCCTTGACTGGAATCAAACCCGGGACCCCTCAGTCCGCAGGCCGATGCTCTATCCACTGAGCCAAACCGGCTAGGGCAAGGCAGTCCCTTCACATCCCCTTCTTAAACCTAGTCCATTCTTGAAAAAAAAATATATATATATTTTGTTTGTTTTGTTTTTATTTCAGAGAGGAAGGGAGAGGGAGAGAGAGTTAGAAACATTAATGATGAGAAAGAATCATCGATCAGCTGCCTCCTGCACATCTCCCACTGGGGATGTGCCCGCAACCAAGGTACATGCCCCTGACCGGAATCGAACCTGGGACCCTTCAGTCCGCAGGCCGACGACACTCTATCCACTAAGCCAAACCAGCCAGGGCAAACATAGTCCATTCTTTTTTTTTTTTTTTAAATATATTTTATTGAGTTTTTACAGAGAGGAAAGGAGAGAGAGAGTTAGAAACATCGATGAGAGAGAAACATCGATCAGCTGCCTCCTGCACATCTCCCACTGGGGATGTGCCCGCAACCAAGGTACATGCCCCTGACCGGAATCGAACCTGGGACCCTTCAGTCCGCAGGCCGACGCTCCATCCACTGAGCCAAACCGGTTTCGGCGGGACTGCCTTTATGAGATTACACTTTTGGCCCCAATTCTTTACCTTCCCGTGTATCCCACACTTGTTGCCATGTGACTTTGCAGCTCCTCTTGCTAAAGAGGAGTCTATTTCCTGACACTTGGATCTGGGCCGACGCTCTATCCACTGAGCCAAACCGGTTTCGGCA